GTGGGTTGGAGGGGAAGGCTGGTGGGGAGCGGGAGGAGGGATGAGAGCGGATCTGTGGTTGGTATGTAAAACGAATAAAATATTTCTTAAGAAAAAAAAGAAAAGAATAAAAGAGTTGCTGTGGTCATGGTGTCTCTTCACAGCAAAAGAACACTGGCTAAGACAGACCGCTGGAGTCCAGCTGCTCTTCTTCCTGAACTGAGCAACTTTCCCAAGCCCAGCAGCAGGCTCCTGACTGGCAGCCTCAGAGGCCTGGTCTGGCTCTTCATCTTCCTCCTGCGGGCAGGTGTTTCCTTGCCCGACCCCCCACTGGTTTTGACCTCTGTGGACTGTTGCTCCTCTATTGACCTCTTCTGGATCCTCCAGAGTTCCACAGGGCGCACCCTGCCCTCCCTCCCCCCTCCCCCGCCCCGCCCCGGGCCCGGTTCTGTTCTCTCATCTCTGCTCCTCTCTGGTTTACCCCCCCTTCCTCTCACCTCTTTGCCGCTCCCCTACCCACCACCCCATCTTCTTTCCCCACCTAATCACAGATGTGCTTCCAACAGACCCTCTGCCATATGGGACTTCACCTTCTCTCTTTGCTTCTTACGTCAACATAATGCTACACATATCACAGCTCGTTGATTTTACAACATGTATTTATAAGGTTACTTTTTATAGAGAAAGCTAGACTTCTGAAACGTCACTGACTTCCACTTGATTTTTTAATTAGCATGCAAAGCTGCAGCTTTCTTTACGTCATTTTGTTACATACTAAGTTTTAGTAAACTGTTCCCTGCCTTCTCTGTCTCCTCTCTCCCCACCCCTGCGTGTACCCTTCTGTCTTCACTATTCTCCCCTTCCGTTTCATGTAATGTATGTTCTGTTACCCTCACAGACTGTTCCCTTAACCCCCCACCCCCACCCCCCGTGCTATGTTCATGGTTCTCTTCCTGGTTTCTTGGCATCTACATACTCCTCCCACATAAATACACAGCAGTAAAAATTAGAAGACAGGATTTGTATACGAAAGAACATGTGTTACCTCACCTAATATTTTCCACTTCTATCCATTTTTCTTTATGGCTGAATAAAATTGCATTGTGCATATATACAACATTGTTCTTAGCCGTCCACCTGCTGAACATCCTTAACATTTAATGATATCAGTTAAATCATTTCAATTGTCTTCCTGGACTTAACGTTTAGAGAAGAAATTTTGTCTGGTGAGATGGTTGACTGGGTAAAGGCATTGTCTACCAAGCTTGGGGGCCAGAGCTCAAACCCCTGTATTCACATATGTGTGGAAGAAGGGAACCATTCCCTACAAGCTGTCCTCTGACCTCCACAGGTAGAGAGAGAGAGAGAGAGAGAGAGAGAGAGAGAGAGAGAGAGAGAGAGGTGATCTTAAAAATTAAAGGAAGACATTTCTTTCTCTAGAACTTTTGTTTCTAGACAGGTCTTAGGTGCCTTCAGATCTAAGCTTCATGAACCAGGAAGTTTGTCAAGAGATCACGCTGCACCCCCCAGTGTTCAGCCCTGTACAGTGAGTTTACTAATTGTCCTGACCTATCTGAACTGTGGTTTTCAGCAGCCGCAGAGGTTCCCTTTTCTGGCCAGACTAAGTCCATTGTGTAACTGGCACACTAAGATAGCTCTAACATGGAGAAAAACACACAAGTGTCCCTCCAGAGGTAGATGGGCATTGATTTTCAAAGCAGGGATTGATTACACTTCAGGCAATGGACTGATTTAGGGAGAAAAGCAGAGTTGATGAGGCCGAGAAAATGATTTCTTCTGTATGGTTTCTTCCATAAGCACCAGTGCAATTAGGAACTCATGTTAATTAAAAAGGTGCGGAACCCTTGGACATTTTCCTCTGGCCTTTGTCACATACAGGGATGGTACTGAAAACAGGATGAGGGGTTGCTTTAGAGGAACTGTATTGTATAGGTAGTAATGCCAGCTCCAGGGGAAAGAAAGCATTTTAGTAGATTCGGTCTTGTGCTGTAACATGCCTCGGCTTTTGAATCACAATAATATGCAGTTGATTCATATGGGATATTGAAGGCTATCAGGGAGGTATTTCTCTTGCCTCTCCCTCAACATCTCTTCCATCATGCAGCTTCTGCTTCTCATTTTAAAAATCAAATTTATCAGGGAGAAATTTATCTCTTCTGGGTTTAAGCACATTACTTTTTGAATCACACTGTAAATGTAAAAGGATGCTCTGCTTTACCCTGCTTAGGTATTAAATATCAGGGATGCTATCTCTTATATTCTGATTAATTGAGCCTAGGAGGGACACAAGAATTTGCATTTTAAAGCATCCTCACTAAGTCTGGATATGGATTAATATTCTGATAAATACTATTCTAACTGTATATCTTACACAAGAACAAGGCATCAATTATTAAATGTCTTCAGTTTACTTGGTATTGCTTTTCCCCTACAGTGTTTTGGGAGTTTCAAAACAAACTTCAGGAGGGCCATGCAGGAACATCGCCTGCAGTGTGGAACGGTTGCCTTCAAAGACAGCTAACCCTCTGACTAGACTCAGCAGTTAGCCCGGGAGTGCACTGGGTTTATGTGGCCAGCAGTGGGATGACAGTGATGTGGACGGGGAGTCAAGCTGGAGTCCCTTTCTGGGCTGTGTAAGAACAAGTCTTTCCTTTCCTTCTGCACCTTAGGCATGCCAGCCATTCCCCGTCTCCCATAAAATGACACCCAGTGAACCCTACCTTCTAGCAGCCATACTCTTGGGTAATACCCTACCCGAGTGTGGAATTTGGACCTGGTGGCTTAATTCTAATGCATACAACATCAACACCAGACGTTATGGACTAGGTTATAAATGGCTCTGACGCCCACCTCACACACATTCTAACCCTGAGGTGGTCAGTCACCATTTTGAGTTACCTTATTGAGATATCTGTGACTGGAAAGAGAGGACTGTCTCTAGCTGGTAAGAACCCAGGTTCTGAATGCACTAGCTCCCAATGCACAAAATTCTGCCACAACCACCTGAGTGAGCTTGGCAGTGGGGCTTCATCACAGCTTCATCACACACCTCGGTTGCAGCCTTGTGGACTGTGGCTAACTAACACCTCAGTTAGCCAGCTAAGCCATGCCCAATTCTATGCCCCACAATCAAAAAGTGATACGATAAATAATGCAGTTTGAAGTCATTGACCTTTGGAACAATTTAGTATGTAATGATAAGTAACTACCGATTTGGGGAACCGAGGGGCCTGAAGGAGGATGTAAACAAGAAAGGTGAGGAATTAATGAGCCCATGCTGACCCTGCACCATGCTTCCATCCAGGGATGGTCCTCCCCGAAGAGGCTGTTCTGTCTGCACTCCTCTGCTGGCACTGAAGGGTTGCCTTTCAGGGCAAACTGCTCAGCCTTGCTGTTTCTTCTGTTAAGTTTCCAAGAATCTCAGCAGCGCCACCCCCAGGACACACATGACTGTCTCCTCTAAAACTTGCCACTGAGAAAGTGGCCAACACTCATGGTGGGAGTGTTGTTCCCAAACCCAAGCTGCTGGGCAGCAATAGTCATTAGAATACAAACATTAAACTGTGTAACATTTCTGGGATTGAGAATGGCATAGGAATTTTGGAAAGAACCATGGTAGTTTCACATATACTGCAATGCAATGCAGATATAACATATGAACCAAGTGTACTTCTAAGTATCTCTCCAAGACAAACTAACGTTCAAGTAAGACTTACATTCACTATCTCTATCGAGTGCTATGTTCAAAGAGTTCAGAACTAGAAACAACACACATATTCATTAATGGGTGAGTGAATGCTGGAATTGTGGCACATCTATGCAACAATCATTACTCTGCAATGAAAAGGAATAAAGTACTGATCTTTGTAATACGATGAATCCTAACAGAAGCATTACACTAAGCAAGAGAAGCCAAACAAAAATCCCGCTTCTGTAAAATTCTAGAAAGGCCAGACTACAGTGGTCAAGGCTGTGATGTCCATCGGTCACAGTTTGGTAGAGGAAACTGACTAGAGAGAGCCATGAGGGGAATTTACAGAAATGTTAATACCTTGACAATGCAGGAGAGCTCCCCCTGGTGGTGAAGACAGGGGAGAGTTGGTGGGCTGACCAAGGCTGCAACTACCCAGGCCCAGAACCAGGATTATGCGTTGGTGTGTCCCAGCAACAACCCCATCTGTGATCTGCCAGAGCATGGAGGGGGAGGGGGAGGAGTTGGCCCTGCAAACACAGGGCTTTAAGATCTCCATGACTCAGGGTAGCAATGGGATGTTCAGGAAGAGTCCCAGTGAGGGCCCAGGGTCGATTGTGTAGCAGAGACCAGGAGCCTTGAACCAGACCAGTGATTCTTTAGGATGAACACCTGCATGTAATAAAATCTATAGATAAAGGGTTTACTGTGTGACTCACTGTGTCACACTGCAGCCTCCATGATGAGATTCTCCCTTTCTTCTTCCCCGCCCCTTTCTTCTCTTAAATTTTTTTTGGGGGGTTAGGGGGAGCTGGATGAGATTGGGAGATATGATGTGGAGACATCATGTTAAAGACACAATGAATAAAGAAAAAGAAAAGATTTTTAAAAGAAGGATATGCCATACAGTGGTTAGAGACACATCAGTTGATAGTGTGCGTACTGTGAGGCAGCCAGGTAGCAGGCTGGAGTAGTCTGCTTTCTTCTTTGCTGTAGGGAAATATCACAGTTTTAGAGACTGCAATTCTGTACAGTATGGTGTTCCTTCTGGCTCTAGGGTCCCCTCCCTACACTACCTCATAGTAGCCGGTATCATGAGGGGGGAGAGAGAGAGAGA